ACGATCCCCGGGGTTTGAGCCTGTAAGATAGGTATCACAGAACCCCAGGAAGGGCGGGAAGTTATGGCCAGACTTCGGTAGAGCTAATTCGCGTCAGTCGGAATCGGTCATCGGATTTCTCGTGTTCCGGCGCGGAATGTTCCTAATTACCGGGTGCCATTTCCGTCGTCGGGGCCCCGTGGGGGGGGGAGCCAGGAGGAAAAGCAAACAAATGCGTGCCCTCTGCAGTGAACCCGCTTTCGCCTTGATGATCACTCGTTGCCCGAAAGGTCAAAGAATGTCGACAGATATCGTTTGCCCCGTTCTTTGTTTCTCTCTCCCCTGCGGTTTTTCCAGAGTAGCGTTGCTCAATTAGCCGCAGGGCTCGTTGGGGCAGAGTAAACATTGGTTTACAGGGGAGGACAATTTCGGCGTCCATCTTCATTCCGTCGTGAGCATTCGGGCCCGGGCGAAAATGCTGAAAGCTTTCCGTTGCTTTCCCTCCACCTGACGCATTATCGCTAATTTCGACCCGGCTCGGTCGTGACCGGGAAATTAATTCCGTGGCTTTTTTTTTTTTCCCGAACGCCTAAATGCGTCTGGTGCACTCTTCATTGATCCCAGGGAATGCCGCGATAAATTTTCCGCTGAGCTTCATCGCGGCTTTTAACGTCGGCTTGTGCCCCCCAATATGTTTTATCCGTCCGATCTTGAGCTCAGAGTATCGCCTCTAAATGCCCCCTTTTTCACCCGGCCAGCAATTTAACCGAGATCATCTCCAGTGCTTCCTCGGAAGATTTCCCCTCCGGCTTCATTGCTTTTGAGTTACGGGTTCTGCCGCCCGGGAGCCTCTGAAGTTCATGCATACGTATGAAAAAAGGAGAATATTCTCCACTGTTCGCCGAACATTTCGCCTTAATGTAATCCCCAGCATCCTCGAGTTGTTTTGAATTGATGATCAAGCAATGGTTCACTTGCAAGTGGAAGCAAATGGAACTCACGCGATGGCGGTGCACTGCTTTTGAAACATGCGAAGAGTGAATTAGATTGCGAGCTCACGGAATGCGTTGCGTCGTTATGATTTGATTTAGTTGCGGATCGCATGGAAGTCTTCGTGTTCTCTCTCTTTCTCTCTTGGATCAGATTCGCGTTTAAAAATTCGGAAGACGAAACGCCTGTCCGGAAGGGGTTGCGACTTTAGATCCGTCATCCATAAGGAAGTAGTTCAAGAGCTTGCTTCCTGGGGATTTTTGAGCTGCAGGAATTATCGATTCGGCATCTATACATTGCCAATTGATGCGCTCTACCTCTACAAAAATGTAATTTAAAAAATGTGAACCAAACTTCGCATTTTCCTCTCATAATTAAGTGTCAGCGTCGGGCATTCCTCGTTGTGGAAGCTTTCTGGATGGATTGACGTCGTTTGTGAAGGGTAATGTACGATCATTTCCTGACCCCTGTTGCAGTTTTTCTCACAAGGGTCGGATTGCCGAAAGGCAGAGGTTAAAAGTTCTCTCAATGTCCATTTTTTTTTTTTTACTTGTAGCACTCAGGGTTGTTATTTTTTTTCGTAGTGTAAGTATTTCCAATAATCAAAAATATTTTATGGCTTATACCATGTTCCGATGAAACTGTTCTTCGCAATTTTCGTTCTTGTGGATTGTGAAGGCTGTACTTTTGAAATATGCAGGGATGAGATGCAAGTTACTAAATACAGATAACTGCCATGTGAAAAAATCCCTTCAAAATGAAAAGGGGTATTGTTTGCCATCGTATGGTTGTTCGTGGGAATCTAACGCAGAAATTTGGATTCCCAACGAGCTTCGTACGGTAGGAAGTCTCCCTCAAGATATTTCAATCATCCCTCGTGCATTAAAAAAATCCCCGAGTGACACTGAAAGTATTTTAATCAAGTTGAAGAAAGTCCTTTTCATAATTTCATTATTCTTGAATTCAATTAATTGGAATAGATCACATGGTAGTATCCATAATTGCGCGAGGTCGATTCGCGTGTCTGGCGAAGTGCGTATTGTATGAAAATATCCGAGTTCACTCGAAAGTTCGAGGGACTTGCTGAATCGGTGACCGAACATCCCTGCGGTTCATAAAATGGGAATATTGCTTTTCGGTTTGCCGGCATGAATCAATCTTCGAGATGAACCCGGGAACCGGATGGGTGAACGGAACGAGAATGTTTCGTGCTAACCGTCAATCGCGCTAATTTCGCGTCGGCTGGCACCGATTCTCCGAGAAGTGTTTGTCGGTCGTTAGCCGGCACTCGGATAACAAGTCGATTTTATTTTTCCGCGGGTCGCGGTTTTGTCGCGGCGCGAGGTCAATCGCGTGCAACCTCGCCGACGTGTTGTGCTCTCGTTTCGTGGCCCCTTAAATTATCACCGAGCCCAGATCGTGGCTTGACACGATCTCCCATGAATTTTCCTCGACTTCTTTCACGATTCGAAAACCACTAGGAAGAAAATAACTCAAGTTGAACGCCCGGACGGACGAAATGCTCGCGATGGACGTGCTGAGTCCTCTGAAGAAAACTGCACTGTACTCTAGTTTCCCTGCTTGAATCTGTCATTGAGAAAAGTTTCAAATCGTGAAATTAATTTGGCTATTCTCTCTTTAATATGTAATCATGTGCTTCGAAATTGTGACGTACAGCGGGGCCCCGAGATGCGGACGTAATTATTTATTGGGACTGTATTTATCTGTCAGAAAGTCTGCATGTCAAATCACACTTTCTCTTAGACTTCAATGGGGATACCCAGTATTGCTAACAACCTCTTGTTTTGCGAAGAAAGAAATTTTAAATAGCCCTCCGAAAAATAAAATAAGAAGTACTTTTTCTCAACTTTAAGATGAAGGAAATAACGACAGAAGAAAAGGAGATCAAAAAGGAAAGCAAGCAAACATATTGCTATGCGTGTACTGTACATAGACGATAGAAAACCCCTAAAAAGTGAAGCACGAAGTTATTATGTTTTGGATAATGAATTAGAGTAAATTAATAATCAAATATTCTTTGAATTTTTGTCCATTGAAATAGCTGTTCGTTTCCAGAAATCAAAATGTCGTTGAGTATTTTTTTCGAATGTCGTAGAAAAGAAGGCTAAGTGTCCATGCCTCGAGACATTGTCAATATATTAGGGCAGACTTTTCGAGTTCAGAAAGTCTTCAAGCCGAATCATCCGCATGTCGGGGCTCCCACTATAGAACAACTTGGCAGAAAGGGCCGAATGTATGCGTATAAAATTCAGCCAGAATTATGTTTCTTTGAGGGAAAGTTTTCGAGAAAAGTTTTCAGCTTCGGACTATATTCTCAGAGCGGAATCTTTGATCGTTGTGTATATGGGCCCTTCGGAAGTTATTGACAGGAGGGAGGAAAATGCGTCGTCATTAAACTCGCCCGTATACCGTAAACAAGCTCGCCAAATTTTCCCCGCGGCCCGCATCTTCGCTCATTTTGCTGATCCCCGCGTAAAATTCAGGTTCTTTGGGGAGAGCGGATATGAAGGTTGCCTGTGTTTTGAGAACGGCGCGTCATGCTTGTGAAATCTCGGCAGAGGCTTTTTTCACTTTTCGTGGGAACCGCGCGTTGCAAAAAGGAAGGAATTTCGACGGGAGGGGAGTTGATAATTCAATTCGTCCCTTATCTGGTTTTGCCAGGGGGGTGACAACTGCACTGAGGGGGAAAAAAAGTCGAAGCCCCGTTTTTCGACAATCGGAAGCTTTTCTGCTTACCCGGCGGCTTTTTTCTTCACCCTCGGTCATCTCGGCAGCGCAGGGCTTGTCAGAGTTGTCTCCTGGAAGAGTCCGGGGTGTGCGAATGCAGCGTTTTGGCAGGAATCCATTCCCGGGGAATTGTCTGCGCGGCACGTGACGCTCATGCAAAATTCCGCGGGACATAATTCCCGGCGGGTTTTCAATATTTCAGCGCTTCCGCTTCGGAAAGCGCGTCGGGCTGAGGGAGGAAAAGAAGAAGAGCGAGAGGAGAATCGGTCTCGTTTTCCGCGATTTCTCCCGCGTGCTGAGCCGGAAAGTATTTCTTTCATCTCCCGGCGCTTTCTTCCCATGGAAAAAAATGAACGTCCATCTTTTCAAATTTCACAATTTAAACTTCCGCGCGTCCAGTTCCCGTCGCAACGCCTTGACGTCCTCTGTGCGATACGCGATTCTCTTTTTGCGTGCAATATTCGCGCAATATACCTTCCGAACCATTTTGAGACTGAGTTTATCTCAAGATTCACCTCCACCGGACGCATACCCGGATTTCTCTTTCTTGTCTTCGCGTGAGGCTGGTGACAGGATGAAGGCAACAAAAAAAAAAAAACGCCTGACATTTTTAAACTGCATCGAATTGTTGATCTTTTCAAACCAAATTTTTGCTTTTCGGGTAATTTTATAGTTTCGGAGGTGGATTGAAAGCCCTGTTTATGTAAAAAAAAATCGTAGGCACCGCGTAAAACTTGGATTAAATTAACATCCCATTTATTGAGACCGAATTTAAATTCATTGGAAGGAAAAGATGCTGAAATTTGCACTTCAAATTTTTATCAGAACCACTTCCTTTCCTTGATCATTCCTAGTACAGTATTTGGTTGTTGGTTTTGCATCATGCAATTTTTAAAAGTTTTCCATCGGTCGAATGAGAACGTTTTTTAAAGCGGTAATATCGGATTATCCACGATTATCGGCGCAAAGACGAATGACTAAGAGCCCCGGTGATCGGATTTCTCGTGTTCGTTCATTGAATATTCAGCCAAAACGAAGACGTTTCGGTAAGTACTCTCGTGGTACTGTATATGGAGTATTTGTGGCGTGAAAAGGGTTTCTTTGAAAGCTAGGCAATTCCTGTGACAACTAAAGAGGTGAACACTTGATCTAAGGGGAGGAAGACCAGATGATGGTTCCCTTTTGGCGGGTGCTTGTCTCTTGAAGCTCGGAAGTACGCCCTACCCCCTTTTTTCTGCGCATGTGAGAAGACTGACTGGCACGGATTTTTATGTTTTCGGACGATGACTTTTGAAGCGTTCGGGCTTGGAAGTAGCGATCAAGTGCTTGCGAAAATGCAGGTCCGTCGCCGGCAGGAGGCTTTTTACAGCTCTGCTATTTTCATGCCGAATGCCCATTTGCGGTGAGTGTTTTTCCCCTGGCGCGAATAGGTCGAGAAACGAGAGCGACGATCTCTGTTGTACGCCTGCGGAGTTTAAGTGCTCGTTCGGGTTCGGCGGAAATCGCTTCGCCCTTGAGTTCGACGGGAGTTGTGGAATTATTATTTTTCTTTCTTTCAATGAATCCATCAAAACTGAGATTGAATTTTTTCCCCCCTGATGAATAAGAAGTCACGCGAGGCTTTGCTCATCGGGATCGGGATGATGAAAATCGTCTCGACCCGCACCCAGGAAGGAAGGCCGCGAGAATCTTGAACGGGATCCGCTGATCGGTTTTTTCTCATTTCCGAAAGTCGAAGAAGCTAGGTTTTCCCCTCGTCTAGAGCCTTTTTAATGGGTTTCTACTTGATGCTGTGCAGAAGAGTTATCTGTGTTTCGTTCAATGCGACGCGCCGATTTTTGATGTGCGAGAAGTCATTCTCACCATCATGTCTTCGGAATCCATCTGGAGGATGTACCTTTGTGACCCAGGCCTACATAAATGGGATTTTTTCTGGGACCATGTACCCTTGCTTTCTAGTTGAAAAAGGTTGATGAAAGAAAGTTGGGTTAGTATGAAAGAAGCGGATTAATGACTTAATTTATTCCATCTTCTGTTTTTCGGCGTACGAGGAAGAAGAGGAATGTTTTCTCCCACTTTTCAGGACAAATCCAAAAATTATTACAATTTGTTATAATAATTATTTTTCTTTTTTCCCGAGGACGCCACCATTTCCCCTTCGTCTCGGTCATGTGGCATGAGAATGCCACGAATATCCTCCCATTTCGTAGTACCAGTCTCAAAATGACGGAAAAGGTTCAATTTGCTCTCCTAGGCGACGCATGCTTGTGGCTGTCTGGATGATGCCAGGATTATAGCATGCCTGTTCCACCTTTTGACCCAAATTGTAATAATTGTGCGTTCGTAGCTCCTCAAATTATATTTATTTTCTGAGTCTAGTATAGCGTGAATCACCATGCTTTTACTTATTCGATGAGCGAAAGAATGGAAAGACTGGGATTCCGTAGCTGAAACTTTATTTCATGAGGAGAACCACTGGAAAGCCTTCAAAAGTTTTGAAGAATTCTCTGCTTATCACTATGGCGCATGAAGAGAGAGATGGTCACTTTGACGAGGCCTCTCAGAAATGAAAAGCTGCCGCGAAAACGCCATTTTCTCTGGCTCTGCGATAGAAACAATTAGATGGAGAAAATGGTGAACCTCGGGTTTTCCTTCTGTTCTCCCCCGGGGTACAAAATGTTCCGAGAAGGAAAAAAAGTGACAGATAATGTCAGTTTCGCGCGGATGATGCCGTCAGGGGTTTTTTTTCTTGTTGCTCTGGTCGGTTTTTTGTATGTGTGTGCACAGGGTGAGATGCAGCGGTGGTTTAATGTCGTTTTGACGTGATGAAGACTGGGGAACTGCCGTGGAACGTTTTAATTGCGGTATAGTTATTTCGCTGGGCGATTTCCATCGCCCCCGCGGGATGGGCGGAGCAACAGTGTTGCTCTCATTAAATATCGTCGAGGCGGCGACGCGGATGATGGTCTCATTTCTCGTCACTGTCGGCGGCATTCCGAGAGATTTCTTCACTGTCAGGATACTCGTTATACGTATTTACTCTATTATTGGCCGCTTTTTCTTCTTGGAAGGTGTGGCCGGGAAATTCGTGATATTTAGAGAACCGCATTCTGACGTGTAAATAATCTACATCCGATGTTTGACTACTTTTGAATCATTTAATGAACAATCGGTCTTCGAGCAACTCAATTCAAAAAATTCAAATCGCCTCATTTCGTATTTGGAAGATCTCCTGAATCCCGATTGACACGGACTGTTAAAAAAAACAGAATTATTTTACTGTATTCCCTATTTATTTTCTATTTATTTCCCTACTTCAAGATACTGAAAATTCATTCCGAAAAATTGACAGCTTTTTTGTGTTTGAGTATGTTACATTTTTCCTCCGAATTTTGCTGCCGATAAAATTAATTCCTCCCGAAATAGATGCACAAAATCACGTCACGGCCGAGAGTCAAACGCGGCCTATATTCAGCTGAACACAATAGCTGCTTTGCTTTAATGTTGCCACCTCTTCGATTCTGAAGCTGATTACATTGAATTTTGGTACAGTTATTTATGAAGTACTGTACATCCCCTAACAACTGTGAGTACGATACCTTTTATTACTTTTTTAGAAGTGGCAACGACCAGCGAATTTCATACGTCAACGACCTTCCTCACTGAGAAGCTTTAAAATTGTATTGCCTGGAGTAATGATGCTAACTTCTGCTGAGTACGGAAAGCAAAAGACGAAACAGCTTCAAACCCGAGCGATTTAGTTAGTTCCTTTAAAACGATTTTCACGGAGTACAAAATATGGAAGAAAGATTAGAGAAAGGCTTGGTTGGCGAAACATTGTTTGCCCTTCGAAGGGGCTGGAAAATATTTGGAGAACAGAACCAAACATCACCTTGTGCAAAGTTCAGTTGAAAAGGTTGCGAATAAATTAACGGAAGCACGAAGCAACTGTGTAGTTAGCTATACAATACACGATTGCGGATTTGCCAGAACAATGTATTTTATCCAGTCGAAATCAGAAACGATAAAATGCTGTGCTTTGAAAGAAGAGCTCATCAGAAACGATAAAATGCTGTGCTTTGAAAGAAGCCTTTGAGCTCTCGTGAGATTGCACATTTTCAAAAATGCTTCGTATCAAACGTGCTGAAACCGAGGTTGAAACAATTGTTCGTTTTAAACTACTGTATTTCAGGAGTATCTATAGTACAGTACTATACGTTGTACCTACTCGTAAAATCCGAAAGGGAGCAATTTCACGGATGAACTACTGGCGTAAAAAATCCTTTGAATTCGCTTCATTAAACATGTTTTTTTTTATTTGCACAATCAAGTTCGTGCGCTTGAGAACGGCTGCAGAAAATGAAATTTTCCCAGGATTCGCCTACAGAACTTCATGCTCGAATCAAACTTTCAACAACCGGGAAAGAACGGATGCATTTCCAAAGTGACAACAATTTCAAGAATACGGTACTCGTGTCTCGAGGCTTCAATAAATCGGGATTTCCGACGACTATGGACGAACCGGAAAAACGCTGATAAGCAGAATTTCTCTCAGTTCCGTTGCTCGAGCGTTCATTTTATTTCATGCATTTTCCTTCGAGATAATCATGTTAATTTACTCGAGGAAAAGTGCAGTAATGCGCATGCTGAAGGTCATCCTCGAATTAGACTTGCAACCGGAGATGAATACATTTTGGCATGCATTCAGGAATATCATTATTCTTTTAATAACCAGTGTTTCACGACTTGCAAATGTATGAATGAGTTGTCGGCGTGGAGGAACGAAAAAGGAAAAGCGAGGATTTTCGGAATTTAGTTTTCCGGTGGTTTTCATTTATAATTTTTTTTTCAATTTTTGGTTCAGAAAGTCATGCACGAGTACTTGAGAAAAAAATGAAGTCCCGGAAGTACATTCAGAACGGACAACATTGCTCAATTACGAACGCGACGTCGACGGACACGCGTCGGTGGAGGCGCGGCGCTTTTTATTTCGTCGGTTCTTTCCTGTCTCTGCCGCCATGTTTGGCTCTTTTCGTCGAGGATCGGTATCTTTTGTCATTCGGCCGACAGCGGACGTCCTTTGAGTCAGGTTCTCGGGGAAAATAAAAATTGAAAGCAAAAAGTACCCGCGTGTAGGACATGCTTCTTCGTCCTGCCGCTCGGACGACAAATGGTGCTGCTTTTTTCTCTCTCTTCTTTACCGATCAATCCGAGGGAGGCTTTTATCTCCAATGACGGCTTGGGTATTGTTTCATTGTCCCAGGCGCTTCGTTTGATTATCGCTCATCAATGCGGTACTAGTGTCGGCGCAATGGGCGGCTTTTATTGAACCAGTCCGGGCGAATCCTTCGCATGCCGACGTTACTTTGTCTCACCCGTGCCCCGGGGCTCTCCCCGAGGACGAGCCCTGATGCCTCCTCATCCTCCGCGCTATTAATCCTAATTGCCCCCGGGAAGTGAGATGCTATCGCAGCCCTTCGGTCAACCTCTTTCATCCATTTACAAAACACGGAAAACCCTTCAGCTCAAAACCCGTCATTGTATCCCGATTCTGTTCCCATCTCTCATCTAATCTTTTTTTTTTTTATCCCGAAACGCACCAGCATTCCCATGTTGATCTCGGGACGAGTTTACATCCATGCCAAACTTACAAGCCCGGCGATGAAGTGTATCGTGTTGCTAACCTTGGTTGATAACATCTCTGAATTGATGAACTTAATCCGAGTATGCGGCGACGCAAATGCGGGGTAACTTGCTTGTTTTCTTCGGAGCAATTGGTCGTCATTATGATGCTTTTTCAGCGTTGTTCATGTGAAGCACTTCACAAATAGGAATCCTGTAGGTGAAACACGTTTCTCGTACTCATGTAGACACACGGTAGTGATATGCGATTGAAACATCAAAAAGAAAAGACCCAGGGACAGCGTATTATTGCATCACACCTTATTTTCGCTATCATAAGAAGACATATATTTTATGACAACGAGCCTCAACGTACAGTAATTTTATAGGCCTTGAAATCGAAAACCAGCTTGCTGGCGATTCTATGACGCAACATTTGTCTACAATGCTCGGAAACTACAATATTTCAAGGAGTGGATAAAAAGGAAGAAATTTTGATTACGGTACAACGCACTGCGATGTCTGATGACTTGAATTTGCTTTGGCGAAACTTACTTTGTGAGGGATTTTATTCTTTTCTCAAGCGAACTTCTCTTGAGAAAAATGTGCCTAATTTTTCTCTCACTTGCAGTGGGCATTGTGAGTTTTGTTCACATATTTTGGCTCACGGTTTTAACTAATCTTCGGTGGCAGAAACGCAGGTTCCAGTGAGAGAAAGAGATTTATTAATTCACCTTTTTGAACTACAGTATCATATATGTCTGAAAACTGTATTTATTTTGCATGGGAATCTGGGGCAGTATCGATTCGATATACAGTACCACGATGATCGTTCTGTGAAACACTCGCGTTAGTGAGGCGTTTTTATGTTTGATATTCCACGAGATGAAAACTGCGCTCGGGTTTGGAAAGTTTTCATTGCCCCGATGATGACCGTTGCTTCAAATTTCTGTCAACAGATTTACGAAAATACTTCCTGCAAGACCCTTACAGCACGAACGTGGAGCTGAACGGACAAGTGGAGCTGAAGTGTCGGGCGCCGGAAGGGGTTCCGCCGCCGGAAGTGAAATGGCTCCGCAACGGAGCCCAGATCGATTTCGACGCCAACTCGGACCCGAACCTCATCTTGTCTTCCGAAGGCAATTTGATAATTGCGCAGGCAAGGCTCCAGGACATGGCGAATTACACCTGCGTCGCATCCAACATCGCCGCGACTCGCTACAGCCAAAACGCCACGCTGACCGTCTACGGTAAGCCCGGAAAGCCACAACTGCACGTTAGGGTTGCTCTGCATTAAATCCCGGATGCTTCTGGGATGCCCCACGGGTCACCGTGTGCATGCCGACGCCAGGGTCTGTGCAAAGAAATTTACCACTGCGTAGCTGAAGGACTATTTTGGGCTCTATCTCACGAATGCATCTTACACGTGTTCGCCGGTAACCAACGACTCACCGTGGTTATGGATAAGCTTCCTAGCTCGTTTCTCGCATTGCTCCCCGATTCCATTCCCACTAAAAGGGTTCTGGTAACGCTAAAGCACACGAGTGCGGCTTGATGCGATAAAAGCTCATCTTAAAAACGGGGCCCAGACTGGTTCTTCACGAAGCTTAGTACATGTTTCTCGTGCTTCCGAGTAGAATGAAAGTGCGGAGGTTCATGATGATAAACGCCTTGGTTTGTAGATCAGCGATTGAGTTGAGTGTTCCGCAAGTGAGCTTAGCATGACAGCTTTCAAACCAGAGCCACAGGTCTCCTTTTCTCAGCCAGGGTCTTCATGACAAAAAATCCAGACGAACTTCGATGAGACGTTTCAAAATTCCCCCGGGACTTTGTTTTCGTAACTAGGATTCCAGGACTTCGTCTGCTCTCATAATCGTTAAAAAATTTGGGTATACTGTTGATGCACTGACTAAAGTACACAATTCGATGAATTTCATGCGCCAAACAGTCTGGGCGAGTATTCGTCGCTCTTAATTTCGCCAGATATTTTCTTGAATCTTCGTGTCCATGGAAGAGATCTCGTGTACACAGGTGGACTCTCTACAACGATATTCTCTGCATACTGTACCGATTTTTTCCCCATGGGGTTCTCTCCCCATTTCAAAGGGTTGTCTACGACGAAATTCTCCCCACAAGGTTTTTTAGCATGGTCTCCTGAATTTCATCGTAGAGTGAGTCCATCTGTATGCTAAACATGTTTCATACAAAGCCAGAGTTGAAGAAATCCCAGTTTGCTTTGCCAAATTCCATTGAGACATGACCTGAGTCAATAATTGTAAGAGTTAGTTATAAAAAATTGATGAAAATTTAATTGAAATTATAGTTACCAAAAAAATTTGAATGTACTGGTCTGATAACTGGAGTATGCATTAGTTTCTTGATGTCATATTTTCTAAAAAAAAATCCTCATCTGACTTGATAATCGGACAACTAATAAAATAAATGAATTTTCTTCCCTCTCCACCATGCCTTTTTCAATAAAAATCTTGTAAATTTTCCAACGAGAAAGATAATTTTTCAAACTCCAGCTTTCTTCTCCGTCCTTTTTCTAAAAATTCTCTTCTGACTTTCTGAGTGGAAACTCGACGAAACAAAAAGGGACCGCCAACCAATGAAAGAACATGAATTTTAAATCTATCTTCACCATGCGTCACAATCCGACGACGATCTTCTTGTAACATTTTCCCAGACAGGACGAGAGTCGTTCAAATTACAGCTTGCTTCGTGTCGTGTAATCTTCCTCAAAATCCTGGTCTGCGTCGGTATAATTGGAAGACGACGGGGGCCACCGAGATAACCTTAGATCGAGGTTAATTCAGACTGATGGTAGGGATTTTGAAACGTCTTGCGAAAAGGCAGGGAATAGACGAGAAAAATGTCAGAAAACACTCAATGAGCAGGCGGAGAAAAATAGTGTGGCACTTTTGCGTAGTGAACGGAGGTTGGACGACGTGGTCGGCGTGGTCGCCCTGCAGCTCCGCGTGTGGCAAGGGCGTGCGGAAGCGCAGCAGGACCTGCAGCAACCCGGTCCCGCTCAACGGCGGCCTGGAGTGCCCTGGCGCCGACGAGCAAAAGGCGCCTTGCTCGTCCAAGTGCCCTCGTACGTGCATCCTGTTCCTCGGGTTTCGGTGCATCGGTGCTTCAGCCTAACCCTCATTAGCCCTGGTTTTTTGCCTAGACTTGCCTGACTAATCCAGAACCTCGGGGAAGACCGACTCATCCAGCACCAGCTTAACTCGGGGAACATGTTCCCAGCGCCAAGTGGAATCCACGATTTTGAACCAAATTAGACTCGATTGCTTCTACCGTGTTCCCCCAGAATAAATGGGACGGATTTCAGGCCAAAGTTTGAAAAGATAAAATGTCACCAACGTGGACATTTTCTAATACTGTGCTGTGCAATTGAATTAACATCAGGGTCCACGAAAGGATCCCTTTGCATCGAGAATTGTAAAATTTCCGAAAGATTTCCAAGAAATTAAAGGGCAACCTGATATTTTACTATGTAATTTCTCTTTGTTATTTCTGCTGACGTCGTAGTACGTTAAAGTAATCCTGATGATCAATTGATGGGAGGCTTACAGGCTGCGTTGCTTCTTCTTCTTATTATTATACAGTAAATATACATTTAAACATTGTTTCTTAAATTCCCGATTTCAATAGTCGATTTAAACGGTAGACCATGAAATTTTTGTCAGCATTTTTCGACGTCGAAAGAAGTAGTAACTCTTTTATGCCGAATAGATGAATTTGAATTCAAAACGTATTTTTAAAGGTTCCGACCAAACTTGTAGCCGCAATTTTGTGAAGAATGCATTTTTTTCAATTAGTTGGCCCTATCCACTGGGCTTATTTTGTGTTATGGCTTATGTAAAAAAAAAGGTTGCCTTGAATTTTCCCCAAGTTTTATTACGTAATGCTTTATCATGATAGGCCATATTTTTGGAGAAACACGGTGCAGTATATTACTGTACAGTAATCGGAAAGCGAGTCGAGCGAAAAGTCTGGTGCTCAATTTTGCAGAACTTTCAGTACTCGGTTTGGTTCTTGAAACGTGGGAAAGCTTTTTTGGCAAAAAAAAAATCGATGCAACTAGCAAGGATCGCTTTCGGTCCATTGCAATAAATTGTAGCCTTGATTGAGTCGCTTGGTGCGCCATGAGGGCGGTTTTCTTCGACTTGCACGGTAGTGGGAACAGCATGCCTAGCTTTTCGGGGCGTGAGTCCATGACTCTGATGTGCTAATCGGGTCGGAATTCCGGCCTCGTGTCACCATGGACATTAATTCTCGAGGAAATCCTCCTTGTTGTCTGGATTCTTTTCATGCTGCGCAGACGAGGAGGACGCTGAATGGAGAACGGGTGAGTGGCATCGTAAAAATCCGATCTTCCGCCGCAACCGGTTGCGTGTGGCGGAGGCACTGGCACCGGCGATCGCCCTCGCTCATTAAGAATGTGTGGACGAGCGGGATAATTGCTGAAAATCGCGACACTCGCCGGCGCCGCGCTGTGCTCTTCGCCGCCTTAATTGCCGCGCGGACGGGGGGCATCATTTCCCGCTTTTCAATCGCTCCCCTGCTTCGACGATGTGGGTGTCGGTGTAACGAATGGAGCCGCCTCCGCGATTCGACATGCCTGAAATTCGAATTGAATGAACGAATGAATGAACGGCGACGACGAGTTATTTCCCCTCTTCAAATTCTAACTTTTGTGAACGTTTTCTGGCGGGAAAAATCTGTTTGAAAAGTTCTGTTCCTTTGAAAATGTAATCAGCGAATGTATTTTCCTCTCTGTGGATTTTTCGTAGAAGACCTTCATCTACTGTTCCCGAAGCAGCTGTGTTCTTCAGAATAATCAGACCCTTCAGAGAGTTTCTCTCGTAATTATTTCATGTTCATTCTTTCTATGGAATTGAGGATAGAACTGGTGAATTTTTTGTGAACAGCTCTCGATGGGAGGATTTTTTTTTTAGCATTTTATTCACGAATTTTGCATTTTATGGTGCCTTTGCCTCCTCTTTTCCAAATCTTGAGATGGAAAAAGCAGCTTTTTTTGTGTTGAGGATCGCCTGCTTCATCAAGTGTTTTGCTCCACAGTTGGTTTTGTTTATCCTTCTTCCCGAAGCTCTTCCAATTCTGCAGTTTTTAAAATCTGTGCTGTTGCATTTTGTGATACTTCCACTGTTTTGCCGATGATTTGTTATTTGCGATGTTGAGAATGGAAATCTGTAGACTGTATAAGAAGCCACGCTCAGGTAATCTTCTCCCCATGGACGCAAGAAACCTTCGTGATGGGAAATGAAAGTTTCGAGGTTTTTGCGTGTCTGAGGGAGTGATCTCAAATTTCGCCGAAATAATTGATTCGACGATGGGGTGAGACCAAAAATCCGACAGGTCCAATTCGGATGAAAATGGCCCAAGGTTCTTGATTGAACGTCGCAGTAGCAGAGCCGTGTTCTTCCGTTCGCGGAATCGCCGATTCCGGTCGAGTTGCTGTTTTATGCCCGGAGTGCGATTTATTTCGTCTGCTACCCTCGCGAAAATCGATTGCAGATTCCGATCTCACAGACTCGCCTTGCCCACGCCGACGATCATCCCTCCCCACCCCCTCCCCCAGTGTCGTAAAAAAGTGCAATCTGCGATGCTCGATTACCAGCCGAATGTTCTCGTCTGACGACCCCTGTGAGAATGGCACATAAAGAACGGATACGTCCGCTAATTGATCTGGAAATCGACGTGTCCGAGATTGATTCCTTGGCGGTTACCAGAAAGGAAAAAGTCATTCCCAACGTTGTAAAAGCGGTTCAGGCGAGCAGAAGTCGTAAGCGGGCTTTACGAGAACCGGATAAAAAAAAGAAACCCCTCCTGCATAAATTCTGAATCTGTAGCTTATGCGTAACTTTAAACTGAGCGGAAAAAACTTGGGATCAGTTCAGCAGAGAACGATATGGTATCTGTTTAATCACAGGACGCACTTTTTCCATTTGAAAATAAATCTAGGGGTTGCCCGTAATTCAAGTTGTATTGTATCGCTTCTCACTCAGAAAATGTAACTCTACTTCCGCTTGCTCTCTGCTGAAAAACTGCTTCGTCCTCATATTTTAATTGATTTTAAAAATCGCGGGAAATCTAGTTATAATGACAGGCTTTGTCCAGCTACAGTTCCCCCAAATACCTTCCCAAAATTTGGGTGCCGCCTATAGTCTCATGCAATATATCACGATATAGCCTCATTTATGCGACTCTGGATGCGAATATGTGCCACACCTGTTTTTGGGAAGCCATTTTCCTGACAATATTTAAAATCTTGGGGAGACTAAACCCTTCTATGCATCATTAGGAACTGAAATCGCCTCTGCTGTTATAAAATTTTAAGATCAACCAGTAATTTCTAAAAATAATAAATATTATCCAGCGGGTAGCATAATGACCGACGCTCTTTTCAGACACGCGAAACCTCGAATACTTCATTTCCCATCACGAAGGTTTCTCATTTCTATAGAAAGATTACCTCAGTTCCCTTGGAGGTACCTTGCATTCCTAGACCATCGATTTTGATGTTCAACATCAAGTGAAGAAAAGCGAAAACCTCGGTAAATTAATGAAAGAATCGCAAAATCATAAACCAAAGGTCTTAAAAAGTGGAAAGTCGGGAGATCATAGAAATGAAGAAGAATATTTATGTCTATTATGAATACGAAAAAAGTCTTTCCATTTCCTAAACCCAAGAAGACGGCATGTTATGAATCCTTAAAATTATCTCAAATATGGCATTCTTCACCTTAATGCAGACTACAGTTGACCTCACTTCCATTTGTGTTTCGGGTGGGATGTGCGGCCAATTGTTGATTAATGTATCAAGTTTTCGTGCCAGATGCAATCCCAGTTTAATTGCTCAATTATATGATTTTAAATTCATTTTTACTTGACTGATCCGTTCCCGAAGTGTCCTGGTTTCCAAGCATATTAAGCCATTCACCGGAAGTTGGGGGAAGACCGTGGCGAATGAGCGTTAAGCAAAGCCACACGTTTTGTTGAGGTGCCGGTGTCGAAATCCTGGAAATTTTCTGTCTACGGCGTTAGCGATTCGAGTCGTCGTCACACGGGGAATCTTCACCGGAAGTGGGCCGTTCTTACTCGACGACGAAAGCCATTAAGCGACGGGGGAGGCCCAATGAAAAAAAATATATAGAAGTCTCGTGCGTCGGGAATCCTCGGGTTATTGAATCGTCGACGGCAATCGAAAGCATTTGTTACGCGCCACGAGATGTTTAAAAATCTCACTCTTTGCTTAACTGCGTCGGGTTTGTGAATCAGATTACGGGATTTTCGCCGGAAGTTGAGAAAGAGCGAAGCGCGTCGAATGCGTCTGCGATACAATTGAGGCAGGCGTTTTGTTTGATCGTCTTTTGTTCTGTCTCGCAGTTGCCTTTACCGTCATCACAACGTCTCTTTCTCTCTATTTTCTAGAAAAAATAAAATATTTTTGCTTCTAAAGTAGGTTCCGTTGCTTTCTGTTGACCATGCTTTCCTGTGAATTTCAATGCTCTACGGAAATCTCGGAACACTGGTCAAAAACTTTTTCTTTACAGAAATACGTAAATGATAACGTGTTTCCGGAGACGGATTGATGAATGTGTAAATACTGCATATGTGTGTCAAAGGAAGATTCGAATGGGGAAAATCTCAGTATTATCCAGTAAATACTTTTTTTTTCTTTGACGTCAGAATGCAAAATTTGGGCTTATTTTATTCGAAAACTTCGCTTGCACCCGATAAAATGAGAGTCAATTCGCGGTATCTTGAGTAAAACTATGGGTTCATTCTGTTGACGAGAAATCTGGCATCCTTGGCCCCTAGAAAATCAATAATGTGTATCGGATTAATAGTTAATTAATTCATAATGCAGATATTTGCCGTCAAGAAATTCGCGATTTCCTTTCCAACGTACCAGGCTTTTTTTTTTTTACTCATTTGTATCGAAACTCGGAACAATGCAGAAGGAGGAAATTGTGGCATATTCCGTAATCCAACAAATTTTGGACGTAGGAGGAAAACAACGACTTCGTAAGGCTCTTCCAAGAGCAATTCCGGTGCGACTTATTTACTGCTAATGCTGAGGACAATGCATATTTTGTTGCATGAGGAATTCATACTTCTTTTCGAAAGATAGATCGAGTACGGTAACTTTCTGCCATTTCCTAGGCGCCATCTAGGACTCATAGTCCCGGAAAAGCCGAACATCAGAATTTTTTTCTCTGAGACAACGAAGAATCTTGATTACTGTATCTTGATGATGACGCGGATGCCCGCCATCTTTCGCTTTTTCTTGTCTTCATTTGATGCAAATTCGCGTGCGGGACTTCAATTTTTTTAATGTTCGCAGGCCACAAGAACTGGTATTTTGCAAAGAGGGTATACTTACAGAGGGCCTGGATTTTGGGATGTTGTTCTTCACTTACTGCAGGCCTGGTGTAATCAAAGTTTTTAATAATGAAGAAGCTTTTACGTCACTAAAAACGAGACCTTAAACCACAGAACTCCTAAAACAGCGAATGTCGTTTTTTTCTGTTTTTCGTTTTGTTTTCAGCTCGCGAAAAAAAATTTTCCAGATTATTCTGTAAAATATAAAAGACGAAACAAGACTCGTGTACTGTATATCACGAGCTAAAGAAAATTAATGACAGGCTGAATAATTTTCTGTTTTTACTTAAGGTTCTACGGGAATTCCCGAGATTTCCTGCATTAATAACGGAATACATATTTGAATCTTTATTTATGTTTTCATCGGTACTCGCCAGAGTTCGTGAACTACAGGATAATATTTTTCAACACGTTTAAGCCCAAGTTATTGTGGTTCATATGACCGTAGTTTCGCCCAAGAAACCTTGGGGTAAATGTGTGGAGGGGTTTTTCCGTTTTTCGGATGTGGGGCCGTTCTTCCGGCGTTGCGGTGGTCTGGTGACGACAGCCATTAAGCCAGACGGGAGGAAAAATGAGCGCCGGGGGCACTCAGGTGTCGTATCTTAGGGAGTAATCGAAGCATTAGTTACACGCTGCTAGTAATTTTTTCCGGCCGGAACGCGCCGTTAATAGGCGTGACGCATTCGGCGAAGACGTCGTCTGGCGCTGTGCCGTCGCATGCGCACGCTTGGTTCCGATCGTCGATGTATCTGTCGATCGGGGCCGTGTTTCCTGTGGGTGTCGTCACTTTTTTTGTTTTGTCTCTGCTCTTCCTTCAACCCAGAGTTTCTCCTCAGTCCGTATATGGCGACGGGATGATTGACAGGCGCGCGACAGCCTCTATAAGTCCCCTCGCCCGTCGGTGCATCCTGTTTTAATGGGCGTATTGCGTATACGAGCTTTTGTCCGGGTCCCTGGTGGGAATTCTTCCCGAGCTCGGCTTTCAGTTGGCCATCATCCCCTTCGGAGGGGAACTCAGCCGGGTTCCCGTGCATTTATCTGCTCACTTATCGAACCCAGCGCGGGTATCCGTGGTCGGGATTGACGGTTCATCGTTTTCCGTTTGACTGCTGCGAGTTGCGATCCATTTCGACTAATTGTTCCGACTGGGGTATAGAGGATTTATTCCTCCTCGCTGTCGATTCTCGTATTCATTAGCCTTCATCTCCGCTGCATTAACAGCTACGTTCATTTTGAGCGGTTGGAACGAAATGTTTCGGGATGGTGTTTCTTCTGACGTTCTTTTTCCTCTTCAGCATGTATTTTTTGTTTATTGTTGATGGAAATGCGCTTTTCGTGAAGCTGGTCGACCTTGCTTCTGTTCACGGAGGACAGCGTTAATTCTGCGGAGGCTTGAAGCGACATGTTTTGGCAGATGTTCTTATTATTTTCAAATAAGAAACGTAAACACAAATCAAGAAATCCACAGATTCAAAATCTATGGCCTGTATATTTGAAATTATGTAAGATGGACCTTATGTAAGATGTTTTTACAATTTAATAGGAAAATTGGGTCTTTTGATGGGCCGAATTCATCATTCAAGATTTTTGGATCTTTATTATGGCCGGTGCAGTTATTTTCCTTGTAATCAATGAATGCAGTTTGAGTGCGGTCTGTAATGGGGTAATTACGGTCAACTAAAATAAAATAATATTTTTTCCGCGCAATTTCAGAAGTATGTGATTTTATTATTGCTTTTAAGTTTTTTCGAGGGAAAATTGAAGAATAGAAAGCTTCTGGGCTGCAGATTAAGCAGATTGACTCTCTGCAACGAAATTTAGGGGACCAGAAAAAAATCGTTGCGGAGAGAATCCCATTGTGGAGAACCCTATGGGATCAAACTTAAATTAGTTCTACGGGTACTGAGAAAATCATTGTAGAGTGAGGCTCCCTGTAGCATTGGCGAGTATGACGTTAACGACTAAAATGTCCTCTGAACAGAAAGCATGGGTCTTCCAGCGCGATGGCGACCATATGGCTGATGAAATGTTTTCACTCAGTTCGCCTCTTTCGACTGATTAAAAGACAGGACTCACAATTTCTGATCGGATTGCGATGTGGTTTTTCAGCCGTGGACGGCGGATGGAGCAGCTGGTCAGCTTGGTCAACTTGCGGCCCCAATTGCCTCAGTCATCGGCGACGAACCTGTACGAACCCGAGGCCGCAAAACGGCGGTGCTTACTGCGTCGGCAAAGACGACATCACTGACAACTGCACCGGGGGAATGTGTCGAGGTGAGTCCCTGTTTCTCACGTCAGCGTTCGACTGTCGACACGCACTTTGTATTGAAAAATCCAGTGTGCTCGATTATTGACATTTTTTATGGGATATTCGGCATGAACGCTCAGTCCGTAAAATTTTTGGAAATTTCATCACCTGCCAAACAATGCGGTTGTCTGTCGAGATACGCCGTCGATTTGTACATGGTTCATCTTCTGCTTGCTTCTGGTGAAGTTCACCCTGCCACGATATTGTCTCAAATCTCAGAAGTGTTTAGCGAACATGCGTGGGATTAGACTACCTTTTTGCGGTTACGCGTATGTTTTCCTATGACCCCTATTATGTTGAATTGAACCTGATACCCCGCGCCATGGATCATTTGAGAATGCAGGGGGAGAAATACGATGGAAAATAAAGGCATGGTTAGGTAGAAAAACTGTGACAAAGTTGAATCAGATTTTTCCCATGACCTCAATGCTCACGGAAAAGTGCGTGCAAGTAACTCCGAAGCGCCCGCGAAATTGCTCGCCGAACCACGAGCTTGACTGGCGAAGTCAATGCACCTCGGCTCTGCGAAAAATATTAAGAAATCGTGAAAAAAAATCCTAAAAATAATTGTTCTATGAAACGTAACTGTAGTTTCTCGGGATTGTCAAACGACGGAACCTGAGGCTAAGGTATATATTTTTTAAATGTGTGTCTGTTTCTTTAAAGCAGTCGAATAACGTAGAAAATGCTTGATCAGAAGTTCGTAATTTGTGTTCCACAGAGCCCTAACAAATTCACGAAGCTCCCATTGATGCTTTAGAAAATACTGCACTGTAGGAACAGTTGGATTTAGGTCAAGATACGGAGAAGTAAGGTCTGGGATGAATTGATCGTAGAGTACTGTGATTTAATAAGTATATAAGTAACGGCACAGGGACAACGGAATTTTTTCATATTTTCAGCCCAAAAATTATTCATTTTTTTGACCCAGGATGAGTCCAAGTGACTCTGCCTCTGGATTAATTGTAACACTGGATCCGACTCGGAAATCTCTTGTAAGAAGAGCGGCGGTCCTGGTGTCGGAAGATTGAGAAATTGTGCAAAATATTAAGACTCCTGTTTTTGTTGAAAGCTGTAAATTTTCCTGAGTAACTTCCAATGGTTGCATTATTCTCCAGTGGTATGTTCTTTTAGCAACTGAAGATGTCCTGGAAAGAATCTCGACATGGCTGACTTTTTCTGATTTCTCGTGCGGTTTCACAATAATCGCTGGATAAGATTGTATATTTTTTCATGTGTTCTGAGGGGTATGATAATTCTGACGTCGCTTGATGAAGCGCACTTGACTGATTCGTCGCGAAGTCACCGTCCAGCGAAGCGTCGACTTCCCACCATTCGACGGTGCAGTAAATTAACATTTCAAGCAATTAATCGACATCGTCGATCGAAACCCATTCTTGCAAGAGAGCTCCCCAGGTATCTCGACGCGACGGGACAGTTGAATGATCACGGACAGTCTTGATTCGAAAACGGTACTTTTTCCCCTTTGTGAGCACGGGAATGCGACGCGGTACACGGCATCATCAGAGCCGAGTTCGTCGGTACTTGTCGTTACTTGACATTGCGTGTGTTACAAGCTATCCCGTTTAGATTCCGGATGTAGGTCACTTCCGTCCCATGTTCTCTTTTTATCGTAAGCTTTTATTCGGTTCGACCTGAAGTAAGTAGGTAGTCGCATGTTACGAATCTTGTAACGGAATTTTCACCCATTTTCAATGTCCCGCTTGACTTGAAATTCCGAGGGCTCGCCTCAACGAATAATTAAAATGCGGAGCGACCTTTTGAGGCATTTTATTCGATAAAATTCTCTACACTCCCTCTTCCAGAAATACCGGTAAATTATGATTCAGTAAACTAATAGTTGAAATGCGGAGCGACCTTTTGAGGCATTTTTTTCGGTAAATTACCTGAAATTTCAACCGAAACTTTGGTTTTATTCACAGTCATAAAAGTGCATTTCTTAGCTCCTTTGCAAGGCTAAATTCGTGAAATATTTAATGAACAAACTAACGAGTCTAGTTCGCTGAATCAGTATTTCCGTCTCTCGGGGAATTTCGAGCAGAAATTATGTCCATGCTTTCGAAATTTATTATTTTATTCACTGTAAGCCGGTTGAACAATTCCGTTGCCTGCGCATTTCCTAGATTACCCCAGAGTTTTGGTTGCGTGACGTGTTATGCTTGCATATTCATGGCTAACTCCTTTGTAAATTTTTGAAAATAGGACACCTTTGTTTACCTTAAACCTCACAAAAAGGAACCTTCGTGTTACGCCCTTCCGAATAAAGGTTTCCATTTCCGTTTTACATGCATTGGCTTTAGAAAAGTTTCGGCATGATCCTGATGGATTCATTTCTTCTCCTGAATTCAAATATAATGGCCAGGTTTTTAGGCGAAGCGTACTCGAAATATTGCAAGATATGCTGGAATGCGTCGCGTTTCCTTAAAACCTTTGGCAGTCGCACCAAATCAAAACGAAAAAAACAAAGAACTTGCCGCGAAGCATGGACTTCTATTAACTTTTTTATTTTTATATACAGTACTGTACTATGAAAAATAAAAGGGATGCTTAATTAAATTTCGTGCTAGTTTATGCTTTAACTTAGCAACTTATCAATTCTCTCGTTTGAGTGTCAAAAGTTTTACATTACTGTATATCCAGCCACTTAGCATCCATGGTTCCTCTGATTTATTTTACCAACCTATTCCAGTTGGCACTGAACTGCGTGCCCTAAAAATTCAATTTTGCATTTTTGTTGATGAAAAGAAACAACCTGAGAACTTTCAAATTTTTGGAGAAACGTGGTTTGCTTCAAAACTTCTGGGAATGAAGATACAAGAAGTGTTGAACAATATATTCATCTTAGCGGCGCAGAAAGCTTGAACTTGGTCAAATTATTGATTCGGGTGATTATTTACAATTGATAATCCTGGTATGTTCTGTCTGGAAGAAACTTGTCGAAGTCTTCTAGAACTAATAAAATATGAGTCGAAGTAAGAACGGTTTGAAATTACTTCGAGCTTCGAATTGAGGTGAAACAGTCATGCTGTCCCTTGGGGTTTCCTGAGCCGGTCATCAGTTGTATGCATAACGGCGTAAAGCTTTTACTAGGAGCTCAGCGTGACGTGACGTGCGAGCCCTTTTCCAGGTGTAGTTCGGGCAATGTGACGCGTTTTTGACAGCACCCGTCGCCTAATAACGGCCGTAATCCGCTTGCAATTTTTTTCCCTTCCTCTGTCGAAAGTGGACGCAAACACTGCCAGGGGTGGGACAGTTTACGAGCCCCCTGAAAGAGACGAAGGCGTAAAAAAAAGCGGTAATCCTATTCGGCACGAAACGATCCCGCGGGAAGGTTGCCAGAAATTGGTGGCATGCAAATCTGCGAAATCAGGTCCCGGCAACCGCTACACGGAACTAACGGCAATCCGACTTCGACCAAACTCGCGAAGACGCGTCACGGAAAGGGATGCGGAAACTTGATTGATCGCTCGTTTCTTGGGCTTTGCTGAAATCGTCACGGTTGCATTGATTGCTTCCGAGGGCTACAGTGTTCTCCGTCGTTACGCTGTTTCCTCCTCGGTTGCCAAATAGTCCCGTTTTGGGGCGTGAGAACCCCGCGCGGGTGTTTGTTGGCGTGCAGATGGCAGCCCCGTATTTGGCAAAGCAGCCCCTTACGCGCTTGGTTCCCGTCAGCAAGCTCGCTTTTTGCACGACTGCAAGGTGTAACCATTGGTTTCGAGTTTCAGCGCTGATCTCCCCGCTTTGCAGCCATGGAACAAGGGCTCAACAGTCCGGATCAAGTTCGCGCTGCATGAACCCCATCCACTCGGTTCGGTTGCTTCCGTCTGTTGCCTCAAACCCCCGCCGGGTTCCAAAGCAATTTTTCTACGCTTCTTCGCGACTCGAATTTCACATACATCGAAAAATAGGTCGAAGTGATGTCATTGCGAAAAAAAAGAGGCATTTGTAACAGATATGTTTTTTTTTCGCGATTTTCATGGATTCCTAGCTGCTATTCTTCGAAGCCTGAAAAAAGCGCGGCGTTTCTCCCATCACCTCAACGGCTTCAGGCACGATGTGCTGCTGATGGCGTTGCTTCGCGTGAAGTGGGTTGCACTCCTTGTCAGATCGTATAGAGGCGCGTTCACGATCATTCGCTGCAGATGTTGGCCATGAGCACCAGAATGTTTCCTTCGGTTATGTTCCTTGTTCACATCCGATGTTTTCATCCGTATTCCTGTCTGGCGCAGTTGCCACAACTCCGGAGAGCTTCGGGGGGCAACGGGCTGAACCCGGCCGACGCGGGTGCTGAAATCTGTCTGTTCGGATTTTTCTTCTTCCTGGATGAAAGTTGGCGGAAAAAAGGTATACAAGGATGAATATTCGCTCGACAGTACTGAGTTACGATGTCGGCACACAGTGCTGGAGCACGTTGCGAAGCGCTAAAATGTTCTCGACGTTTATGAGCTGGCGTTGATGCGAGAGAATCAAAAGTCGTGCCAGGTTAAAGTCAGCAAACCCCAGATGCTTATGAGGCAGGATGATTCCCAGGTGCCGAGGCACCTTCCTAATGGCTTCTGTCGATTCAGACAGCGGAGAAAATCATATTTTTTCATCGTAATTCATTTCATGTATTTTTTTCCGCAATGACATGCTCGTAGTTGCTGGGGTTATTGAGCTCGGTGTCCGAGTTACACGGCGTGTCCAATTAGCACTCGTGCCGTAGTGCATATACGTGTACAGCTAAATCGCGTGTCAGGTGCGACATTTTACGCGGGGTGCAAAAAATGGGGGGAAAAGAACGAAAAGAAAACAGGGCCGGTTTGACCAGGACGATTGCTTTTTCGCTCGAAATGACACCGTGCTTCTGCACGCACTCGTCCGTTGTCACTTTCCCCTTCCTCGTGATTTGTGTCGACGCCCATTCGTCATTGTTCCCCGTGTCGGCTTGTTTCCAGCAGCGTTATTTCCAGCAAGAATTGTGGTTTGCTAAAATCCCGCTAGAGCGTCTTCTGCATTCCAAACAAGCATACACTGGCATGCGGGTTTTCAAATGTTTTCCTAATGTGGGTTGTACCACTTTCTGGGTGTGATACACCACCGCTGGTCAAGTACTGTTCCACCTGTGTGCTGGCCTTTTCTCGATTAAAGGCTCTATTCACGACGTCATCCTTGGCTTTTCGTTACTGCATAATTAACGTGAAATGCTCGAGTTTCTTCGCTAAGTCATTCAAATATTTTTTCATCTTCACTAAAGTTTTAGACGCAGGATTTTGAATTATAATAACAAGGAACGATCTGACTTTTTAATGAATCATTCCGCGTACCAACTGACAAGTGCCCTGTGGCGTGTATCTCGAGTTGGCAGGATTCCTTGTTTCCCCAGAAATCTGCTTGCTAATTACCGACGTCAGTGTCAACCCATGCAAAACAAATCAGAGCTCTTCGGCTATCGACATCTGACTTACAACGAATTTTCGTGACGTTACTTAGATTTTCCGGAGTAATGGTACCAGAAATATGCGACCTAGCCTCGTAAGTGAACCCTGGAAATTTCTCCAAAATTTGCTTATGAGGAAAGATACCCTCGCCTCTACTTGAGGCAAGTAAACATGGAAAATAAAAGCAACTTTTCTTTTAAACGTCTGGCTTGCTTGGGTTCTTCGGCCACTGATGGCCGCAAAAGATTTCACAGAATAAGACTGTACTCCACCTCAGAAATATTCAAAGACACATTAAGATAACAGTTGAGGATTTTCTGGATACCATATTTATTGTATGATACATACTCTCCTGCGATAAATACTGCACTGCAAAGCGTGTAGTACTTTTGAATAATTCAGGTACTATGCGTCACTTATAATTAAACATGCCCCATTGAATGGCATTAACGCAATGCAGTACAGTACTTGACATTATTACGAATGGTTTAAAATTAAAACTTACTTCACGTACGGTATAAGACCGGTACAAATTTAAGACAACTGTTAAAACGTACCACTTAAGTCGAAAGGTCGGACCAAAGTCGAAGAGCCCTAAGTAAAATCAATAGATTTTTCATTTGAAAAACTGATGCACAGTAAAATATCATTGATGTATTACAACTTGCATTTTTTTGTTTCTGTTACCATTTTTTCATCATTGAAGAAATAAAGATCATGAACCTCGGTTCGTCATTGTGAAGTTTTTGATACAGTTGCAGTACAGTATTTTAAAATCCTGTAGCTTCATGTACATTTTGTGTTGTAGTGGAAAGGAAGTTGTTTTGTGTGTGTGTGTGTCTGTGTGTGTGTGTGTGAAAATGGTACTGAATTCAACAAACAGGAATACAGAATCCACAATCAAGTTTCCCCATCTGACTCGCGAGTAATTGTGGCTCAAAATTATTGACGCGTTTTGCATTAACAAATTCCACGAGGCAGTCGTTTTTACCTTGCTACTTGAAATCGGATTTCTCGTACTCATGCGAACTGACCAGTGTGACGCGAGGAAGGGACTTCTTGTCGTCGCCGTCCCGGTCACGCCGAATGAAGGAAATGTAAATTGCAGATTTTCAGCAGCGGTAACAACCGCGGGGGAAATCAAGTTGTTTACCGAGCAGCAGCTGTGGTTGGTAACTTTGGAACACAGCCGTTGGGCAGGAAGCGAGATTGTGCAATTATGTCACTGACAACGTACAATTTCTCACACCTGGAAAACAAAACAAAACAAAACAAAAAACCGGGCGCCGCAAAGGCAGAACGGCGTGCGTCTGAGAGGGACAAACATTCGTGGTCTTCTACTATCCGCAGTACCTTTTCCCACGAGAACGAATGAATGAACCAGAGCGAGATTGCGGATCGGACATGGACTCGTTGAAGTCTTGCCCATTGTGCTGGAAAAAAACCCGCGCCTAAAACGGCAATTAATCTTGCCTCTGTAATTGAGGAAGCAGCACGTTTTGCATCCCGGAGGTCCTTGGCGATATCGCGGTTAATGACGCGACGCCGGCCCTACGCCTTGACAAATGGCACCTGATGACCCTCAGCCATTATGTGACAGCCGGGATCCGTTACCTGAATGATTAATGCTGCTGGGGCACATACTACCAGGGCAGTGACACAACACAGCAGTTTCGTTCGAGCGTCTTGCGTGTAATGCGTCGGGTTCGACTTATCAGATTCCCCGGGAATCTGACTTGGCCCGAAGCTACAAAACTGCGGTCCGAACCCATTGCTCGCGTGTCGCTCTTCTTGACAGCCCAAACGACGATATACTAGCTTGCTCCGACAAGAAACGTTTCTTTCTCCTGGTTCAACACACGGGTTTACTGCGTCAACAACGAGACTTTCGTCCGCGAGATTTCCTTCCCCAAAATTAACCCCATCTGAAGTTCCGCTGTTTGCGGCGATATAAGACGTGTTCTTCTTGTTCGGCGAAATATTTTCTAATAATCCATAGTAGATTCTCACGAGTTCTCTTTTTTTTCGAGGCTCAAAAACCATCGTGACAAACTAAAAAGAATTTCCCTGTACGCGAAACAAGGGTCTTCTGAAAGAAGCCCCGACCCCGCATTTCGACTTTATCCGAAAACCCCCTTTCCAATATGGATACAATTTATTTCGAATGATGAGCCATCCGCGCTGAAACTTTGTTTCGAAATATGAGACTCGCGATTTCAAGCAGCTTGTATACTTGTTAATTTGAAAGTCGTGCCATGATTAACCCGTTGACCCCGTCGGAAATGCTTCGAAAATCGTACCGAATGCGTTTTCTACAGAGGATCAAATAATGAATGCAAAATTGTTCCTATTTTCGGGAAATGCGATATTTTTGCTAGACGCGGCAATGTCGACAGCTTTTTTTTTGCGGACGATGAAGTCGACGAAATCCAGCGATTCGAGTTAGGTTTGCAGATACCCTCGGATTTTCGTAATGAGTTCAAGTCAGTGCACTTTCGTTGGCAGCTGGCTGATGCAAAATCTCACGACTTCCTGTGCAGACCCCCGCACATCATTCATTCTCACGTGCGAGTGGGTGTCTTTCAAAATGGAAATCATTCGAATCGTGTCATCGAGAAATGAATGATTCAAACGGGACTGCAAATGACTCCGACTTCCGCATAATCCATCCGAAAGCCAGAGAAATTTATAGAGCGCATTAGCGAAGAGCACGCGGCATCTGGCTTACGTCGAGTTGAGCCGGGTTTCACGTGATTTCGCCGGGTGTGTCGGCAGTGTTTTCTTTTCCTGGGCGCATTTTGGGGCTGATTTCCTGCCCCGAGTCGTTGTCGAGTGAAGGCTCTGCTGCGTCTGTCGTTGCGAGAAGGGTTGCAGCCCTTGTGCTCCTTTTCTCTCCTGATGAGCTCTGTGAAACTGTGCGAGCGCTCTTGTCTCCGAGGGGTTTCCACGGGGTACTTATTTCACCGCGGAAATTCAATGATCACCCGACATCCTTGAGGTTTGAAAATTTTTTTTAGATGTTAGAGAAAAGAGTAAATG